TTACTTCTCACTGTTCTCAGGTCAAATATTTATATGCGATTAAAATGTGATTAATTGCGATTAAATGGGACTGTCTTAGAAGTGATAATTTGTTAAATTTGAAAAATGTGCACTTAGAGAAAATATAAAAGTTTTTCCACAAAATAAATATCATTAATTATTAGTAAAAACATAGAATTAAAGGTAAATTGAGCAAATTGGCCATATCTGGCAATTTATTTAAGTGTGTAACAAACTGGTAGCCCTTCGCATTAATCAGTACCCAAGAAGTAGCTCTTGGTTTCAAAAAGGTTGGTGACCCCTGTCCTATAATATAATACTTAATTTGGGCTAGCAGTCTGTTTTTAAAATCATCAACCATTTTTTGTGCCACAGTGGGGAAATTTGAGTGTTGCCTGAATCATATCATATCTTTTTACTGCATTTCTTGTGTTCAATCTGTGTGTTTCTCTTATCTGTTGTTGTAAAATGTACCTCTTTGTAATGTCCTCTGAGACGACGGCTGTTGTGGTATAGGGTGTAAAAATATTCAATTCAATTCAATTAAAAAAATCTAAATACATTTTTTTCCATTTATGGTTGTAAACATGACAAAATGTGCAAAAGTTCAAGAGGCAATGTGTCTCGCTTCACATTTAGGTTAAACCACAGATGTAATAGACTTACAGTATGACCAATGCGAGATTCACACAATTACTTTATGATCAAACGAAAATTACGTTGAACTGGAGTCGGGCCACATGATGTCCTCTGTCCTTTCGTCTACACTTAAACTAAAAGTAGTGTTGAGTCCATGTTCGGAGCAGACCTTTCCGGAAGCACCTCAGTGTGTTTGGATGTTTTGACAGCGGACAGCAGCTGTGTTCTGACCGCTGGCTCACTGATTAAATGTCCTTAAATAGGACAAACGCACACAGATGTTGTTTATGAGCCCCGTGATGATCCACGGGGTGAAGATTTACAGTCACCTTTCGGACACACACTCTCCAAAACTGATGAGGCCAATTGGCTAACGCCATTTCATTTAATCACAAACATGGACCGAAAGAACTTTGCACGACACATGGACCATATTGGACCATCAAAATATGTGTAAAATGTATTGTATAATAAAAAAGCAACGGTACACAGACAATGTCATATTTAACTGTACATAAAAAGACACTCAGAAAGGCCCTGTTCTGAGTGGAGTTTTTAGTTCTCCCCGTGTCTGCGTAGGTTTCCTCCGGGTGCTCTGGTTTCCCCTACAACTAACAGCATGTACAAAAGGCAAAATCCTCTAGTTCTGGTGCAGAGCGTCAACATCTAGACATGGGCAAACGAGCGCTGCACTACGACAACCACTGCTCATACTGCTCCTGATAGAGGCAACGAAATGATGGGTCAAATGCAGAAGACATATTTCCCCGTGGGGACAATAAAGTATAACTGAACTGAAAAATAGAGCTGAGGACCTGGGCCTCAGCTCTATAAAAAAAACTGTGCATCCAAAAATACAAACTGAATGTTTACAAAGGATTTTTACAAATGAATATGCCTAAGACTAATGACAGTTGTAAAAGAGTGGGGAATTATCTTCTTTTCCTTCAAATTGCCTCATATTCTCTCTTTCGCTCTCTCTTTCTCTCTCCTGCCTGCTCCTGCGTCCAGACACAGAGACAAAGCAAAGGCCCGACCTGGATGAAATACTTAAAAATGCTCACACAGACAAATGAGGAGGTCAGTGATTCGCACAGACACGACATGTTTGTTTAGCTGCAGATGTGTATAATGTTTATCCTGGAGACACGTTCTGCTGCGTGTGCCGCAGACGTCAGGACTGGGTTTGATCTGCGCCAGGAGACCCCCTGTAGAGCGCACAGATGCAAAGACAGACTCTACTGTAGTTCTGCTGCGTGTGCCGTGTCTAGAATACACTTATGTGCAAAAATAAAACAGTTGAATCATCTCGAATTCAGAATTCAGTGATGGTCAGGAGAGTTGGGGAGAGCATTAAGGGGAAAGCTCAACCCAGAATGCTTAAGGGGTGTAGGAGATCATTAACAACACGATGAGTACAACATGGCTAAGAGCTGTTTAATGGTAAAGTTATTATTTGAGTCTATTTCATCAAATAATTGAACATACTACACTCACAGCCTGCGTTTGTGTCTTCCCACAACCACAAAGTCTGATCTCTGAGTCCTGATTCTAATATGAGTTAGAAATGACCACTTCCTTCTCACTTACTATGCCACGTGTTGTAATAAATAACAGGTACCTATTCAATAAAATCTCCTTCCCTGTCTCCCCCTTCCTTTATGTTACTGCTCCCTCTTCCTCCCACCTCTCAGCTTGCTTCTGGCCTCCTCCCACTTAGTATGTAAGTTTGAGCTCAGTGTGATTGAGGCAAAGGAGACTTCAACATTTCGATTGTGAGATGCCTCCGGGCTTCGAAACGTCTTTATTGCATGGTCTTCAATATCTTATTAAACCACAGAAAGACAATCCGTGTCCCTCGGGTCCAAATCATTGAAGTACTGTATATCATTGGTGTGTGTGTGAATGGTTGGTTGTGGTCGGAGGGGCCGATGTCACATACAGTACTGGTTGCCTCGCTTCTGTCAGTGTGCCCCAGGGCAGCTGAGGCTACAGTAGTCGTTTTTAACCTCCGTGTATGGAGTGAATGAATAATGACATGTGAAGCGTCTATGAGTGTACATCATAAAAGCACTGATTCAACATTATTATCATAAATTTCTGCTACAGCTGTGAAAAAGTGGATTTTGGATGTTACTTCCCTTTAGACATGCTTTAAATGTCTTGTTTTAAACTAACCACAAATGCAGAAATGAGCAGAATAGACCACACAACTAGGGATGTAAAAAACTATGAATTTTCTTGACCGACCACCGAGCCTCATTAAAGCTGCACTAACTGACTTTATTTTTGTATTAATTACGAAAATGCTATCCATGTCCATGCAGTGCATTGGGATATACGTCCTTTTGAAGAAAAAGTAGCGCAGATTTGTGCTGGCGTGACATTACATTTTAGATCAAGTTTTGATGAAACAAGGAAGAGAACGTGTTTCGGGTCGCAGATTGTGACCAATCACAGCGGACCACTAGCCCCCACTTTCGTGAGAAATCTACAGGTCCGTTAGCATAGACGGCTGAGTTAGCACAACAAGCCGAGGAGCTAACCTGAAGCTTCCGTGTCTTCGTCACCGGTTACTGCTTACACAGCGAAACAGCCATCCAAAAGAAAGTCTCGTTCCTCCGCGCTTCCCGGTTCTTTCGTTCTACGGTCACGCCATCCACGTGCAAATCCATATCCATGTATTATCCATATTGGGAGACGCTAGCTCCGTCAACAACAGTGGGTGTGTGTGGGGGGCGATAGCTTCGTGGGTGCGGGGAGGGGAGCAGAAAGAGCGAGGCCAGAGAGTCCGCGGCTTCAAAATCCCAAAGTCAGTTAGTGCAGCTTTAACCGGTTGAAACCGGTTAACCGCATAGTTTAAAATATTCCATTTTGAGCCGCGTACTTTCCATAAGAGCAGCTATGCGTTCTACTGGATCAGAGCCGAGACAGCGGAGCGATACCAGGAAAGATGCCTCACACTCACGGTGAGGCATCTTTCCAGCACTACGGCCCCCGTCTCTGGAACAGTCTGCCGGAGGAGCTCAGGGCCGCAGAGAACGTTCATATTTTTAAAAGCAGGCTCAAGACACACCTTTTTAGATTAGCTTTTGATTAGTTTTTACTATTTCATTTTATATATTCTATTTATCTTCTATTATTTATTGTATTGCTATTGCTTTTATTCATGTATTGTGTGTTAGTTCATTTTAGTTTCACATTTTTGTGTTTTACTTATTGTATTGTTATTGTATTGTTTTTAAGTATCCCCAGTGTTTCCTCTGGAGGAGCCCTCTGCACTGAGAGCGGTGGTCGGCATGGCTGTGGGGGTCGGACTCTTGGACCTGGTGGGGGCCTGGGGCCTCGGTTTCGGGTCTCCTCTAGATCCTGTGTCGTCCCCTGTGGCTACAGGCGGCTCTCTGCTCCTGGTGCAGACGGCTCCTTGGATGACTTTTTCAGCTGGTTGCATCCGAACCCTGCCAAGTCTCTCATCATTGTTTTACTGTTTTACTTGTGTGTATGTGTGTGTGTGTGTGTGTGTGTGTGTGTGTCAGAGAGTGTGCATGGGAGCGTGTGTGTTTGTCTGTGGTTTGGGGTGGGTATGTTGGGTGGTCGGGGGGAGGGGACATGGGCCGGCGGGATTGTTTTTAACCAAACTGTAAAGCACTTTGTGTTGCATCTTTTGTATGAAAAGCACTTTATAAATAAAATTTGATTTGAACAGCTTTGGCACCTTTGCGCACAGGGAACTGCTTATTTAATCTTCCCATTCTTCTGTGCTGCTGGTTAAAGCATTTTTAAGCTTTAACAGGTCTCCGCTAAAGTTTAAAAGTGATGTGTTTGGAGCTGATCTAATGCCAAGGACCAGCAGCACAAACATGTTTCATGTGGTTTGACTGGAGCCGCGAGGGTCATTTGGGCACCGTAACACAGAGGAGCGCGACAGACCGGTATGTGTGTGTGTACAATACATGTATGTGTGTGTGTGTATGTATGTGTGTGTAAATATAAGCTCCAATGTAGTTCTGACCTGCAACAGTGTGCAACTAGCAGGCGGTAACAGAGGTGAGAGATGATGCGTGTGGATGTTACGTATCGATGGAGGGGCGGAAAGTGTGTGTGTGTGTGTGTCTGTGCGCGTGTGCATGTGTGCGTGCATATGTGGCGCGTGGCACGGAGTTTACAGATTCTAGATACGGACCCGCTCGTCACATCATGCGAATAGAGCTTAAAATAGCGTTATGAAAAGACCTCCCTTCTCCCCTTTTTCTCTTTTTTAACCGACAGCTTTGACCGGTTAACGCTGTGACGGTCAACCACCGGTTAAACGGTCACCGATTTACATCCCTACACACAACCTTTTGTAAAACGCAACATACCTCTTCCCTCTCTTTGGAAAGCACGATAAAGCCGTTATTATCCAGTAAGTAACAGTTGAGGTCCTAAAGAAATGAAAAATAAAGATAATTTAGAGTAAGTAAGAGTAAGTATACATAAGGTGTAGTTAGTACTTACTGCACTCTCACAGCTGAGCGGACACACACCCTCAATCTCAGAACACTGAAAAGAGCAAATGTACAAAGATTAATACAGCAATAAAAACAACTGTAAAATGATCATGGGTTTTTATACTTACATCTGTATCAGGTGGCTGTAAATAAAAAAGACAAACAAAAATCAATAATTAATTACACAAAATCATTTTTTAACATTCAGACCAAATAGTCATGACAAATGTACCTGTGAACCCATTAAGAATGATTTGTTTTTCATGATTTAGATGATTTATGCAAGTATAAAATATATATTGACATAAGTATCAAGGGTAAACAATGCTATCGGGCTGCCATACTACCACCAGGGGGAGGAGTAGATAGCAATAGCACCTGAGAAGTTCCCAAACCTGCACCATCCCTGGAGTCAAATGTGGGGGTGGCAGCATCATGTTATGGAGCTGCTTTTCTTTAGCAGAGACAGTGAAGAGTTGATGTCAAAGTGGATTGAGCAAAATATAATTATTGGAAGAATATCGGCTGGAGCCGGGGATTCCAAGTTGTATTCATGCTGTATGACTACTTGTGCATGCCCTAATTTTCAGTTATTTCAGTGCATGCCCTACTGTTTTGAAAATGAACCGAATCATGCATCATTTGGCTTTCACTTCAGAGTTGTCTGTCACTTTCAGTAAAACAATCAAGGTTGTATGGCTCTAAACATGACAAAAGTTCAGTATGTGCTTTATGGGGGCACTGTATACTGTGGTGTACAAAAGCCCTATACCTGAATTATGCCTGAATTAGTGATTGCACCAGTTCTGATGGTCTTAAATAGGTTATGGGAACTTACTTACTCCTCCATTGCTTAATTACACGTCTCTCAACTCAACCCTGATCCTTGTTTATAATTCAAAGCAGCAGCAGCAGCAGCAGCAGAGAGACACAGCTCCTCTACTCCATATAGACTCCTTCACAGACTGCTTTTTCTCCTGTTTCTGAATGGAGTGGACGTTTCATTGAACCTGCTGTCAGTGTGAATGTGCAGGAGCGGTCAGCAGTCTGTCAGAGGACATTAAAAACCTTATCTTCCCCATGACCTGCGGCGCCCGTCGGGCTTCAGTGCGCCGCGGTCAGGACAGGGTCAGACCTCCACCCACAGGATATGATCACGACCATAAACTGTGTGGAAATGATCTTGCTGGGATGAAAAGACGAAATGAGCGCCCTTTGTGTGCATATACCGTTCAAGATAACGCTTTCAAAAGTCTGCCCCAAGCTTTCCACTTTATAGAGAGACGGCTTTGTACAGTTTCACTTTAATCTCAAAGAATCAAATCTGTTAATTAATAGCTTCTGTTCTCGGCTGATTATGGAAAAAAATTTGGAAAAGAGGAGACACAAGGTCATCCTGGTACGCGCTACTGGAGAAAAACTGGTTCACCTTGGAGAGACCCATGAGGAAAACGCATTAGACTTATTAGATTTAAGCATGTTTATTGATTGAGCATGTTTGGCGCCCTAGGCCCGGGCGGGATGCTGTTGAGCACGGCGCTTGCTCGCGTGCATGATCCCCCCGGGGCCTAGGCACTGGTGACGGCAGAGGCAGTAGGCAACACGCTTCATGCGAGAAGGAGGAGGTGGGGCGGCGGCGGTTTGCAGACTTCAGAAGATCGGGAAGTGGGCGTCTCCGGCTTTTAACTTGCTGTCCTGGTGGTTATTGGTTGACTGGGTGTGGGCGTTGCTGGTATTGATGAGTTGAGGAAGAGCAGCCTGTGGCCTGGCAGCAACAGCCGGGTCTACCACGGTGAACTTTCGCGAAAGCTCCATATCAAACACTACTTATTAAATTATAGATTTTAAACACTGGCATCATTAGAGAAATGATTGATATCAGATTATTGATTGGCCCCGCGATAATATTAGATTTATAATTTGTGGTCAATGCTGTGTATTTGAAAAAAAAAAAAGCCAAGTGTGTGGAATTTCAATCTTCTTCCTTAAAAAGAAGAAAGCCCAAGATAGAGTCGCTTGGAGATCTCTTGTCGGTGCCCTATGCCCCTCGATGGGTAGTAGTAAGTAAGTAAGTAAGTAAGTAAGTAAGTCTTCCTTAAAATGTGAGACAAGCTTCTACCCTAACAATGTTCAAATCCAGGTTGAAAATAGTTCTTCTCTCTCTTAAATGTACTGCAATCATTTATGATTTTTCTTTTCTTGTTTTGCACTTTGAGTTGAGCTGAGTATGAACTGTACTTTACAAATAAACTTGCCTTGGAGTGAATGGAGAAGTTACATTTTATCTGTCTGTACTGTATGAATACATCTCTTACTCAAAAACCTACTGAAGCATTTCCTTTGCTTTTTTAATTGTAACACCAGTAATGAATTCTAACTTTTTTGTTTTCATAAAAACTAAAGCAAGCTCTATATAGATTTTGTTGTTTTGTTGTTGTATCGCTGTCTTCCTCTGTTTGTACGGGCTCCACTTCATATTGTTTCTTCAGTTGTTTGAGTGACATTTCCTCTGGTCTTTAATGTGTTTTTTATTTAAATAAGTTGCCCCTGGTGGGATAAACAAAGTCGTTTGAATCTGAATAACCAGATGTAGTCCCTGTGTTATGGAGAAATGTTCCAAACATGTGGGCGTGTGGTGGAGCGGTCACCTGCTTGGCGATGGCCCAGAACCTCTTTCCCAGCAAATCCAAGGTCATCTGCACCCCGATGGCTAAAAATAGACAAACACAGACAAACGCAGAGGTTTGAGAAAGATACAGGACAAGATGGACGCCACAGATGTTACAGCCTCAAGACGGTGTGTGTTCATTGGAGAGAATCAACTAAATCCTGGAGCACATGCTATAATCAATGAGCTAACTTTCAAACAACCAGAAAATATCGCAAAAATGTATCTACAGTAACTAATTCCTCGCTCCCAAAAGCTGACTAGTTCTATTGCTAGTGTTCAAATATATGTATTTTTTGGGCCTAAGATCAGCTTTTCCAGACCATAGACTGTATATATTAATGGACGTAGTCGCGCCTATCTCCGCCGTTCTAACTAATGGGCTATAAATAAGAATAGATACCCCAGCTTTAAACATGAAATATAAGGGGTTTTGCAAAACATATGTTGTATATAGTTCGGGACAGATTTGAGGTCATATGGTCTCATAAGTGACCCATTTATCGGGAATAAAATTAAAGATTCTACAGTCATGAAACTATCCATTCAACTGTTTTCTTAGTGTCAAACCACTTGGTCTACAGTTTTGATTGGTCACCTTCACCTGGTCATTTGGTTTGGGTGAGGTAAAAAACCAGATTGCAGATACAAGCGGTTCACATGAGTTTCCTCCTCAGAGTGACTGGTTGCTCCCTTACAGAGAGGGTGGGGCGCTCAGTCACACGGGAGGAGCTCGGAGAGGAGCTGCTGCTTCTCCACGTGGAGAGTAGGTGGCTAGGGAATGTGTTTTGGGTGCCTCCTGGACACCTCCCTGGAGAGGTGTTCTGAGCATATCCCACCGGGGAGGAGACCCAGATCATGTTGGAGGGGCTGTCTCTCTCCTAGACGGGGAATGCCTCAGGATTCCCCTTGGATGAGCTGGAGGAAGTATGTCCAGTCGTGTTTATATAAGTATGTATATTTTTTGTGTGAAATCTAAATTATCTTCTTTATGTGGAGTGTGAAAAGTACAGTAAATACTCCGCCCAAGAAAAAATCATTTTGAATACAGATACCACCTTTTGCCCCAAAAGCGGAATGTAATATTGTTTAAACCTCTCCAGGGCCTTCCATCTCTGCAGCAGTAATAAGACAGCTCTGTTGCACTTACAGACATACAGTGATGTCTGCAGTAGTTTAATGAAGACTATCCTTCACAGTACAGTGGCCACTATATCTCACCATAGTGACAGATATGGGTCTGTACTGGTCTCTTGAGGGGCGCTCTTATTGGAAATACACAAGCAGAACAAAATCCTTTTTTCTGTATTGCAGTGTCTTTACAGCAACCCTTGACTACCAGCGGTTTCTCCCGTGTGTTTGGTGATCATGAGGCCATTATTCAGACAATATTTGGGCCAAAACAGTCCCAAGAGATTCTAGTATTGCACCATTGTGAAGAGTAAAACTCAAACCAATTGACTTATGCATTTGTGCCGGACAAGGTCATCATGAAGTAGCACTCTGTCTCCTGGACACAGTGCAGCAGGTGGGGGACAGGAGAGTCCTGGAGAAACTATGCTGGACCATGAATGTTATCCCTGCAGGACACACTGTCTGCTCCAGAGAGCAGCTTCAATGACAAACAGATCCACCCTTACTGTGGGAAGGGTTAGGGTTAGGGGAAAGAGGTTTTGGAGGTCTTTCCTTGCAGCTGTCAGTTTTCATTGTACAGTCTACAATGAATGATGATAATGGATAATCAAAAATAATAGTTATTCACAGCCCTACTTTATATGAATGCCTACGCACACAACTGGCTTAGACATGACTTGTTTATTGTTGTTTAAAATTAGAAGATAGAAATACAGTATATAAATATATATATATGATATTGCATCAAGAAATATGAGAAACATTTGAGCAAATTAGATTTTGCTCTACCTTTTAAATGCTAATGCAGTCTTAGCTTTATTATCTCACTATTAGTCCTGGATTTACTGTTGTATCTTGCACATTCCGATCTTTGCTCCCAACTTCATTAATGAGTTGCAAATTTTTCTTGGGCCAGACATTTTTCTGGCTCTGTGGGGGATTAGTTATGCTCCTTACGGGTAAAATGCTCCAACAGAATGTACGCAGTAAATTTTGGCAGAGTAATTTCACCGCAGCATGGGCCTATACTTTATTTCAAATCCGGTCAATTTCCTTTTCCCAGAGTCGTAAAAGCTCATTTGAACATCTCTGAAAGAATGAGGTGTGACTATTGCAATAATAGTGCAGTGTGTGTCCAGAGCACAGGGTGACCTCAGGGTGCGCTAAAGTGGTTACGAAGCTTCCATTCTCTGCTCTGACACAGCCGCGGTGCAGAGTCAGTCATCCGCGGCTTTCAATTCTTCCGCCGGATCAATTCATTTCTCTGTTTTTCCCTCTGAACTCTTTGCCGTCAGACGTGTCCTTATCGTGTCCTTCAGAGCTACAGCTGTCGCCTGCACCCGCGCAGGCCCAACACAAAACTAACAAAAGCTGACCGTTCTGTTTGTTCAACTATAGCCAATTATGTCAGAGGAAGAATGTTGTAGAAAACTGGTCTAGAAACCTGATTTTACATTTTTGTGTTGAACCACCATGTAATTGTTCAAATACTATTTTCACAGAGAATATAGACAATGGAACATTTTATATTGAGGTAGTTGGAGTTATATAGGACTGTTTTATGATGGACGTTATATTGATATAGAGAGGTGTTGCGATAACCATGCTCTTTATATCGAATAAGGCAATAAGGTATCTGCCAAGGGGTAAATTCTGTCCCCAGAGTTGTTTAATGTCCGTCTACATGATTTGAATAATGTAAAACTGGGTGTATGGTTGCACATATGTCAAATACAAGCGGGCCTGTCTGTTTCCTTACCAAAGGCTTGCCATTGTAGACTGTAGGCCAATAATGTACTTTTATTTCATTTAACTATATGTAATTAAGTGTTGGGTTAAAAATTTAGAATGTATTAAATCAAATGGTTATTGAGGACAATAGCTTTAAAATTAGCAATCACATGTCATGGTAACACATGACCATAAATGCAGAAAAGTATACAAAAATTGTTTTGTGGTTGACACCTGTGGACTAGCGCGTTTGAGCTGTGTTTGTCACATCAAGCATGAACACTTGAAATGAAAAAAAAAAAAGGTCTATGGTTATGCGTGGTAACAGAAGAGTTTACTTTCCAATGCAAGGAAAGGAGCCAAAGCGAGTAGGGGAAAACATCGAAAATGAGATATTAGCTATTATGCTAAAAACGTTGTCCAGATGACTTAGTTTTCTACCATGGGTCGCACTGAATTACATGCTGTATTTGTAGCATGAGAAATGGCTCAAAGTGTATATGTCATCAATCATTGATGTTGGCAGTTATTATGATAGCTGTAATTAATTTTATACAAGGTAAAACATGAAACTAAACAAAAGCGTGTAATGCTTTGTAATGCTGAGAATGTGTTTTCACAACTCAGAGCCAACCTGAGTGACCCACATAGTTTTAGAGGTAAAAGTAACCGGAGAGCCCAAAGGAAACCTAAGCTGTTACTTGAAGAAACTATTTACCTATAAGCACGGATAGGATACGTTTACAAGGGCAAAACCCAGGACCTTGTTGCTGTGAGGTCACCACTCCTGTTTATGGTTGAATAATTTTGATTTACATAGATTTTTTAACATAAAAGCTGACCAAGCTCAAAGTATGTGCAAGAAAATAACAGCATATACATGGTTATTCGCCCCCCACTGGGTTAGAGGATGGCCTAGTCTACTGAGCCAGTTCTTATTTGTGTCTTTTGACCACTATTTACAGGCCTTGCCCTCAATGCAACACTAACACATTTTCGTTTCAGTCTTGATCTCAGACATTTGGGGCACTCCACCAAGACCAACCAAAACTACTACTTCTCCTGAGAACAAACAACTAATTTCAAATGCATTGAAATACGTGCGCAAAACATGTAAACAATCGTACGAGAAAGAGTGGTAGCTAAGATGGATCAAAGCGTGTTGCAGGGACTAAAAGTAAAAGTAGTTGGGCTGAAAGCTGTGTGTGGATCTCTGTACATTAATTATAAAAAGTATTTTGAAGTTGAACATGAAACATAGAAAAGGGAAAAGGCATTCCCTCAGTCGCTGGGTCATTATAACTCTGAAGAGGTTTGAATCAATCACTCTATAAGCAGGGTAAGAGCGCGACTGCTTAAAAAATCCATCCAAACAAAACCTGGGTTACCTTTAATGAACCGCCTTTGCCATCTCAGAATCTTATCACTGTGTCCCAATTCTAGATGTGGCATAAGCACTGAATATGATAATAATAATAATGGATTGGTTTTATATAGTACTTTTTGGACACTCAAAGACGACACATACACGGTGGTGGTAACGAGACTGACAGAAGTGAGGCAATGTGCCATCTCCCACCAATCATTCACTCACCCCAAACTCATACCAGTTAGTTTGGGTGAAGTGTTTTGCAGAAGGACACAACGACTGTTTGCCCCACGCCTTGTCACTCGGAGCTGGGCGTATTGGACACACTCGCAGATGCACGGGGGAGAAGGACAGATGTCAACAATGAATCCGATCCGCTCCAAAAGTCCTGCGTGTCTCCTGTGTCTTGCACCTGATGTTCCCAAAGGTCTCCCATCACAGTACTAAATAGACCCTGTCCTGCTTAACTTAGAGGTCTGATGGGATTTGGCTTTTACCTACAAGTGAAATAACATAATGAAATCCTCAACACCATTATTTGCTAATAACATAATAATAAAACAACTGCTAAATGGATAACAAAAAGATTACTGGACTTCCAGATTGAAACTGCTAATCCGAATTTTGAGAAAATGCTGAATAAATGAGCCCCCTTTTCTCAGAGAATAAAATCCTCTACAGCCTAGTTAGATGAAGGACACAAGTTCCTTTAGAGATCAAGAGACAACAGCTGCACTGGAGCAAAACTAATTTTGCTCCACGACATGGGAAAAATTGGCTACAGCCTCTTTCAGTAAGTTTACAAATGAAGTCCTCCCATTGTAAGAATAACGATAGGACGCCAAAAAGGACAATCCCTGAAATCAATAGGCATGTGATGGTCCATCCTTACAACCATTTCTTAAAAATGAATAATGAATTACTCTCCCGTGCAAGTTCGATTTGGTAATAATTGCACACAGAATCACTTGTAATGCCTGCCTCATTTTCTCCCTTTCAGAGAGTAAGCCTGCAGCTGCACCGCACTGTGCTGCTGTTACTATTTCTGTAGGACTCTGCCTTAGCGCACGCTCTGCACACACACAAATGCACACACACATGCACACTCGCTCTCACAAGCACTATTAGAGGGATGAGCGTCTCTCCCTCCCTCTCTCCTTGTCACTCGGAGCTGGGCGTATTGGACACACTCGCAGATGCACGGAGGAGAAGGACAGATGACAACAATGAATCCGATCTGCTCCAAAAGTCCTGCGCGTCTCCTGTGTCTTGTGACGTTTTGAATAAGAAATCGGCGGCTTTTGCAAGCGGACACTGGAGTTTGCGTTTCTGTTTCCACGCCTGGCTATAAAGCGCAACTCTTCTTCGGGCTGGGAGAGGAGAGGGGATCCGTGGGGCATCTTGGACCAACGCTGCGGATGAGGATAGCGGAGTGGGCTTTCCTGGTCGGAGGCTGAGAGGAGCAGATGGTGAGCGCTGTGTGTAGCTTTCAAAGAGGATGGGAAAAGTGTTCTGTTCTCATTTCTTGCACCTGCGGCATTGCAATGTACAGACAATGCAGATAAAGTGGCAATGTGGGCAGTAAAGTTGAGAAAGCTCCAACTATGCAACTTGGAGAGAAAGCAGCCGTGAGTTTATTTCTATTCCATGCTCTTTGCAAATTGCCCAGTTCTAGGGCTGGATGATTTTGGCAAAATATTGAAGTGAATAAAGCTTAAAAAGTAGGACATTTTAGTGAAGAATATTGTCAAAAGCGGAATCAAGTGAGGAAGGACTAAAACATGATTTGATAAGACTTTTCTGTAAAAAGACAATAGTTATGTTCTAAGTACTTAATAATAATAATTATCATTATAATAATTATGATCATTTTTTGAATTATTATTATAATAGCAAAATACAAAATAGCACTCATTCGAGCATTAGTGGTGGGCAAATAAACGGTTTAAAACAAATTGTTGAATTGGATTTGCTGCAAAAGTAAGTAATCATATAGCACCTTTCACAAAGTGCTTTACATTTGTTTTGGGCATTTGTCCTCTCACACAGGAGATGTGTTTCTGTAAACAGGAAGTGAATAGGGGTTGCCGGAGCACCCAGAGGAAATGTATGCACATTGGTGGGGTAGAACCCAGCTACTTCTTGCCGTGAAGCACCAGTCCAGAAAACAGATGAGAAAGCATATTTCACAATTGTATTACAAGACAGACAGAAGTTTCTGTCCAGGTCTTTTTTATAATGCATGAAGGAGTTATACTCGTCTGGTGCAGAATTGCTGAATAAGACCCCCAAGGAATTGTCTTCAAAGAAATCTATTTAACTTGTTTTCAAAAGCCCCCGATGCCAGTTCTTTCATAGATTTCTTTAATAAAAAATACACTGACATGTAATGTTTGTTTTGATACTCAAAATATTTTGAGTCCAACTTTATCCTCCACTCAAAAGACCTTGGTTATTATAAAAGTTTTCTGACTTTAACAAGCATAAATGGAAGATGCGATTGTACAACATGAAGCAACTGTAAATGCAGGGAGATAGATGGGACTTGGTGCATTTTCATTATACAGGTCCACCTAATAATCCAGCAGTATTTTAACAAAACGATAGAACATTTAGCTTAGTACATTATACATTGTCGATAGAGCTAAAGCCTGTATAAACAATGTGTGTTGGCTGTGTTCTGTGCATTGTATCGCTTTACAGAATATACTTTGTTATAGTTTGAGCTGCAGTGTGCCTGGCCTTTGGTACGCGCTGGTTCTGTGGAGGGAGAGTGCACCCACAGGGGGAGGCTGTCTGTCAGGGCCCATTAGGCAGCAGCAGGACGCCGTGGTCCAGCCCCGAAAAACACAAACTCAAGAACTGGACCATGCACTGCAGACAGATAAGAGGGATCCGGACCATTGGAGGACTAGAATATGCACGGCTCATTACCGCTCAGATGAAAACTACACATTGGAAACATAATCTACATCATTTTCAATTTAATAATAATAGCAATAATATTGGTCGTGTGGGTGGTGGCTCTTAAGAGAAGAAAATGTAGTAGTAGTTGAATTGTTGAATGCTCTTTGCCAGAGTCATACATATATTCATGTAATTTTGCACTGGAAGGTATTTTGTTTCAAGGCCTTCATAAAGGGAATTAAGCCTTAGAGGTCATGCTGTAAAGATGGCAACACAATATGCAACATTTCAGCAGTGAGTGTCAAAACTGTATGAGGGTCAGTAGTGAGAAATTGACAGCTGGTGTATTTTGTTGGCAGCTTTAAAACAAAAAACCATTAATGACAGTAGAAAAGTCAATAAATAAGAAAACTGCAGCAAGGTTCACAATCATTACAAATACAGACTATAGCAGGCATGTACTAAGTCCAGGACTGTGTGTCATTTCTATGTCAAAGTTCGCAGGGTACAGTATGACACAAGTTTGCATGACAAGGGGTCACAGTATCATCCAGCCAACTTTTCCTTAGCCAGTATGGATTCATTGACCATACTGACATTTGTTTTTGATTGTGTCACAAAATTCCATCTATTGCGCTAATGTAATGATGACAGCCAACTTCAGTTCTGTCAAATGTAAATGAACATGGACATATTATATAAAACCTAATTCTAAGGCTCAGAAAAGCCTGAATGCAGTCAAAGTAGTTTCAAAATTTGAGTTGTCGACCCCTAGATTGCCCTCTTGCTAAAAGGTTTGGACACCCTTGGACTATAGGCTCAGACACAGATGAACTTGACTTTATCAAAAGTCAGTTTGTAGGAATTGATTGTTTAGATTTGAGAGACGTTGTCCCAAAATAATAATCAAGGAAACAAGTTTATATGGGAAAATGTAAACTGTCACTCAAAACTGCCATGGTGTTTTCATGGAGATGTTATCACTTAGTATTCACTTTGTACCAAACATCTTACATTAGCTCACATTTCCCGTCCCCACCCCTCCCCAACAAGCCACTGCAGAAATCCTTATCCAGTCCTTCATCACTTCCAGACTCGACTACTGCAATAGCCTCCTTTATAGTCTCCCTTCCACACATCTAAAAAACTGCAATATATCCAGGACTCTTGCTCCCCTGCTCCCCCATTCCTGCTCCAGAGACCACATCACCACCGTCCTCAAACAACTCCGCTGGCTCCCTGTACCATACAGTCAAAGATTTTCCTCATAACCTAGTGAAGTCCCTTCAAAACCTGGCTCCCTCATATCTCACCGACCTCCTCCATCAACTCTCTCTCCGCCTCATATCTGCCGACCCCAGCCTCCCCACTCCCATCAGAACAAAATGCTGAACACTATAGGGGGCCGAGCTCTCTGAACTCTGAGGACCGAGCCTTCTGAACCCTGGAGAACCAAGCCATTGCTGCAATTGCCACCACTCTCTGGAATTCGCTTCCTCAATACATCAGAAATGTGGACCTTCTTTAGATCTTAAAATCAATCCTCAAACCCACCTGTTCAATACTCTTATCTACTTTTGTCTGTTTCGCAGCTGGAACCTAAAGGGTTAAATAATACTGTGAACATGTGACTGTACGGGATCATATCTCTTCAAAGAATTCGATTTAAAAGATCAGATATATTTTACTGGACTCTCTCTCTCATAACCCAGATAAGAGCGTATGACGCAGGTTCTCTTCAGCAGATGTGAATGACACAACAGTATACGGTGTGCTTCCATACGGGGCTCGTAAGTGAGAAATGCATCGCTGGTCGTCTTGCAGCAGTTGTTCTTGTGCCAGATGGACTCACAGAGAGGCGCCTGTCCCGTTCAGGGATTGAAATCTCAGCTTTAATCTGCGCTGATACTGAGTGGGGGGGCTCTAATCTGGCTGATGGTGCATTTGACAAGCTGTTACAGATGAGAACTGGAGATCAGCGTAAACATATCTGACGGATGACTTTCAGTGCAGTTATGAAATGTATCATGGACAACTTTAGTGCAATTGCACTTTTCAATTCATTCGTTTTTGGACTGCGATACTTTTCTGGTAGTTTGTCTTGATATTGATATGCTATTGCTGTGTCTGGAATTTTCCAACGATATGGCATCAAAACCAGTGATGGGAATAACGGCGTTACTAGTCTACTCGTTTTTCAGTAACGAGTAATCTAACTAATTACTTTGACAGTAACTATAACGCCGTTATCATTTCCGACATCCCGTTACTGCGCGTTACTCAAGACGCACAATGAACGTGTTGTCATGAGAGAAGGGAGGATGAGAAAACCTCTCAGCAATTATTGGCTGATGTAAATCATATTTCCTTTACAATCTACATGTCTACAGTTGAGAGGATGGTCATAAATTGTGTTTTTGAAACAAATATGGGTCTTAATCGCGCTCAACCACGGCTTGTATCACCGTGAGGTCAGCCACAGACAGGGTTGCCAGGTCCAAGAAAAATTTCCAGCCCAATGACCTCTCAAAACTCGACCAAAAAGTATGAAAACTAGCCCAATAATTAATTTCAGTTCAATTTAAATTTATTTATCAAATAAACATTCTGTTTGCCAAACAACATTGGCTGGTTTATTCTCCTTTCATCAGCTGCTGTATTGACACACAAAGACATAGGTGTCAGTCAAAAGTTTGTTTAAAAGAGTGTGTGTTTCATTACCTAGTACCTACCTAGATTAGTTAATTATCTTACATTTTCACTCTTCCTCTTATCCAGTTCTGCTGCAGCTCTCGTTGTGATGTGCTCGCATTTCACTCTTACAGAACTTGCAGAAAGCCTTTCTGTCATCATTTGGGACACTGCGTATCCACTCTTTTATGCCCCTTTCTGACTCCCATTCCTTCCTATATCGTTTTTGGTACTTCCCCCATTTACCTGACATCGCACTGTTAGCTTCTTTTTTCCGCGTGCCTAAAATGACCAAAATGACGGTCTTGATAGCTGACTGACTGGCTTCTTTGCCGCTGCACGTGCGGCCTCTGTCTTGCGTAGGGGGGCGTGCCGCGGCACCACTCAAAGGCTTGCGTGTGAGTGAGAGAGAGAGCGAGAGATACGGGGAGGGTGGCGGTGGGGGTGGGGAAGGGGGGTGAGGGACAGTGCTGAGCTTTGAATGTGACGAATCTGATTGGGAAAAATAGATAAAATGACAGATAAAGTTGCGGCCGCGGACAGTTTAAAATCAGCCCAAGAAAACCGCAACCCGCAGCACAAGATTTTTTCCCGCAACGGCCAATTTAAAGTAGCCCAATTGTGCGGGAAAACCGCGGACCTGGCAACTCTGGCCACAGAGGAGCGCATGTGAGCGCAGAAGTCGGCTGCATACAATTCCATCGATAAGCTCCTTGCTCTTCCTGGTTTATCTGCTAAGGACAGCAACAGGTTTGGCTAACATACATATAACACATTTTTACATAATCTAAAATGCACATAG